CGCGAGTCGAGGTTGACTCGACCTGGTGTTGAGTGCGCGTGTCGAGTCAACTCGCGAGTCGAGTCACATTAAGAGTGCGCAGGTAGGTCGAGTCTGCTGCTGGTTCAATCGCCAGAGAGAACATGACGCTTCTGTCGTCCAAGTATTGGTACGAGCAGATACGGATCGCAACAGGCTAAAGCTGATTGCTAAAAGCTAGGGTAGGAACAGCCAACCTAACGCTGATTGTTAGGCGCTAAAATGATACAACCTAAAGCTGATAGCCTGGTTATACGGTAGAAACAACATAAGGCTGATTGCAGTACTAAGGACTCAATGCGAACGTACATAAAAAAATTACTGAGAGGCAAGTATTACTCGCCTGCCAGGCAGGGACATTCCTTGCTGACCTTTGCTTTTTTTTACATGGGACGCCAGCCTGCTCCCTTTGAATTGACTGCCCTCTCAGCCTGTGAGTGTCTTAGCCTCTGGGTGCCTAGACCTCTTGTGTCTGATCTACCTTGCTATTGTCCTAGCCACGTAGCCTGTGCTTGAACTAGCTGGTGACTTTCATAGCGGCATAGCCTGCAACTGACATATTTTGAGAGAGACGTAGCTTGTGGCTGACCTTACCTGTGTCCAGCAGCCTCTGACTTACATATGCTCCGACGTCAGGGGATGGATTTGGCATGTCTCACGCTCCTCGCCAACTTCAACCAAGGGAGGAGCTCTGAAAAACGGAGGTATTGAATGCGTCCTATTTGGCTTGGAAGTGTGTAAGAGAGAACCAGTGCGACCCGAGTCTGGTTTCTGACCATTCCGTCTTCTCAAGCTGACCAGATCGTTGAGAGCTGAGTGAAATCCCATGCCACGTTGCGAGTCGACTTCAGGGATTTCCGTTCTCGGCTAAAAGAGCATATCAAACGGCCGGACCACCGCTCAGCCTTTTGCTTACCCATACTATGTATGACATTTGCTACCATGTTTGTTCTCCCTTGCCCTATACGTTCTTACCCCCTCTTTGTGTGCTCGCTTGGATCTCCTCGCCTGCCTGACTGTGGTAAGGAAAAGAGCAGGCTGTGCCAAAATTGCACATTTCATGCCAGGCAGGCTGAGCTGAGGTCTTTGCCTCGTCGTCATTGCTGTTCCGCCTCCTCGTGCAGCATCCTATCTTGCTGCCTTCGTCCTCCTGGATTCCTAATGCCTACTCCTGCTAGTTCTATTGCCGCTTTTTGCAACCCTCACCCTCACCTACTTGCATAGAAATGTTTAGAGCAACGAAACGCCCCTCACGATCTTATTGACCCATTTTTCACTGCTTGTCCGTCACTTTGTTACAACATGGCAAGTAGCTCCTCTCATGCATCAGTGTGTAACTACCACGTGCTGTTACCTTATCGATTCACGTTCTTCCTGCCTGTCCTCCTGTCTTATGTTACACTTTCAGGTGACTCTACGCTTCTCTTTTTAGGAGATTCTGGATTTCATGTCGGATCAGCTGTCTGGGCTCGAGATGCTGCCGTGTGAAGTTTCAGCACCGCACGCGGCAACAGACGGGGAAAAAGAGGCCATGGAGATGAGGCTGAGCAAGGTGCAAAAAAACGACGTTTTTTTCAAAAATTTATCGTAAAATACCGTATCGTAAGAAACGATCGTAAAAAACAATAAAAAACGATTTTCAGAAAATAATTTATTTGGGTGGAAAAAAACCATCGTTTTTTTCAGAAAAGGTACAAAACTTCTGCTGTAACAGGGGGATTGTTTTGTGAGTAGAATGTGTTGGCTGTTAGAAGTGCTGCTGATGCACTAGGAGATTGTTAAAAGTGTTTTTTGGGTCCAACAGCAATTTTTTAATCGAGGCGCTATTTTTTTGTCTAACAAAAAAACGTCGTTTTTTTCCCAAAAGGTGCCGTAAAGAACAATCGAAAAATACAATCGTATTTTTCGACAATCGTTTTTTTCCACCTTGAGGCTGAGGGCGCTGAAAGTGCAGGAGGAGACGAGGAGGGGATTGGAGGAGGCTGAGAGGATCAGAGCAGCAGAGTTGGTACTAGTGAAAGGGGAGCTGCTAACAGTGCGAGGCGAGCTGGTGACAGTAAGGGGGGAACTGCTGACAACAAGGGGTGAGCTGGCAACAGTGAAGGGGGAATTGGACGCTCTCAAAGGTACTGTGTTAGGACCGAGAAAGGAGTTTGCTGAACAGAGGGAGTGCTTGCAGGAAGTGAAGGAAAAGCTGGCTTTGGAGGAGGAGGAAAAGGAGCTGAGGAAAGGAGTGAGTTCGGATGAGGTGGCAGCAATGCCATGGCCAACACCGAAGCATGTGGAGTTTGATGTTGAAGAGGAGCTCATGATGCGCCAAGGGATTCATAAGATGGTTTTGCAGGTGAGTCAGGGACTGGTGGCATTGGCTGCCAGATGAATGGATTCATGGAATACCGTATGTCTTTTTGGTATGGTTTCTATTGTTGCTGCTTCAAACATTTTCTTTCCCATGATTCGCAGAGGTTTCGTGCGACCACGGCATTGGATCTGATGTGGCTTCCTTACCTCTCAGATGCTATCCTTGGCCATGTGTCTACTATGACTCACCTGAAGCGCATTACTCTCAATGGGTTAACACCGTTCAGTCCAGACGGAATCAAGCACCTCTACATGAAGCAGCTGGAGAGCCTCGAGCTGACCAGCCATGCCGTAACAGACAGCTGTTTGGAAGGCATTGGAGCAGCAAGAAGCCTCAAGTCTCTCTATCTTAATGGAGCCCGCGTGACTGATGCTGGTCTGCAATTTCTGGCACCTTTGAGCAGGCTCCGAGTGCTTGTGCTTCCGAGTATGATCACGGATACTGGCCTGGAGCACATTCAGTGTTTAAGTGCTTTGGAACAGTTGGATATATCAAATTCCATAGTGACAGAAAAGGGTGTGGCACTGCTCAAGGGCTTACCTCGTTTGAGGCTAATTCGGGCGGAAGGTCGCGGCTTGCATGCACTGGTGTTGAGAAACCTTCCCGGAGTGGAACTGGGTAGTGTTGCTTTTAGTGATGTGAATGAGTAGAAAAATATCGGTTTCCATTGTAACCATTTCATTTCCAGCAAGCCTCTCTGAATCCGTAGTCGAGGATGAAAGACAATACGGTAACGTGGATTTCCTGTTGTGTAGAGCGATCTACGTAGCATGTTCACCATGCTATGTAGCATTGGATACTAAGTGGGACTTGTATGCTGCAATCAGGGCCCAAAATTGGTATTGGGCCACTCTTTCAAATCAGGGTTCCAGGCCCCCAGTACCCTGACCCCTAGGGTAATATTTTCCGTACACTGATGGCAGCAGCCTAAAATTTCAGATACACTGTTTGTGTCAGGGTAAAATTGTTGATACACTGTTTGTATCGTTTAATTATGTGACCTGAATATTATATTGACATATTCTAGCAGCGGGTTGTGTCTCAGCTTGTTAGATGTTTGGCCAGGCGTCGAAAGGTCGGGGGTTCGAAACTCGGAGGCGGTGATAATATTTTGCGGCTTCCTAAGGAAAGTCCTCCCTACAGAGGATTCGGTATCAGTGTAGTGTGCAGCGCACTCTGATACCGACAGGGTAACTGAAATCGTTATCAGTGTACTCAAAACCTTACCCTTTTTTCACTAGGGTAAAAAATTTCATAGGCTGATTTGGCAAGGGTAACTGGGAAAAAGTGGCCTACCATCAGCGCAAACAGGGTATTTTACCCTGATAAAATAGGCCCTGGCTGCAATGGCTGCTTCCGCATCACACGCCGGCACTTCGTCCCGCACGAGCAGGATCCTCCCTCTCCCTTGCATTTTGTTTGTTGGAATCTTTTCCAAGTGTCACTTAAGGCACCCACGAGGCTGCATGTGGCAAGGCAGCATCACCATCAAACAGCGTACATGGCATGGCATTAGTGGCGATCAATCTCACCAATAGTCCCTCCTCTAACCCTACCAGCCCTCTCGCAGTCACTCCACCCGCTGGCGCCGCTCTACCTCCCATAGCCATTCTTCACCTTTTCGTAAGACTGCCTCTCAAACTTATTGTCACCCTCGTCACTCTCGTTGCCCTTTTCTCTCTGGTGCTTCACTTCTCTCCGCTTCTCAAGCCACTACTCCTCCGCCTTCGCTTCACCCTCCTCGCCTCCGCCTCTGCGCCCCACTCCCACTGCCTGTGCACCCCTCACGCCACTGCTTGAAATTACGCTGCTGTTGCTGCTCCTCACTGGTCCCCCGCCGCTCCTCGCCTGCTCCAGTGGCTGCCTGCCATGTGGCAGGCCAGGACAGGACAGCCTGCCAGCTGTGAAGACCTTCCACTGCTGGCATGCGTGGCACGTGCAGGACACCACGCCCCCTGGGGTGACCTGTGGAGGCGCGCGAAGGAGGAGACGGAAGGAGAGAGGAAACAGGGCACAGTGGCATAAAGCAAGGGGAGAGGTCACGGAAGGAGTGATGCAGGTGAGCAGGGGGGTGAGAGGGGGCGGGGTGTGGGTGGAGGAAGGGCCTTGTCTTGTCAGCAGTGGAAGGACTTCATAGCTGGCAGGCTGTCCTGTCCTGGCCTGCCACATGGCAGGCAGCCACTCGCCCTTCTCCATCCTCTCCACATCAAACCAAGAGGAGGTGATGACGGGGTTAGAGGAGGGGGATGGTGGGAGGAGGGCTGGACAGAGGACAGAGAGGGAAGCACGGGGGAATGGCAAGTGAAAGAGACGATGGTGAGAGCGCTGGTAGCTGGGGCGGGTGCACGGATGAACGCCGCATGCAAGGATCCGTGGGATGGGTGCGCTGACGGGGAGGCAGTGACCAGGTGTGCACAGAGGGGTGGGAACGGTGGGCGAGGCAAGGAAGGCGGAGTCACTCACCATGCGCTCATATCTTACCACCACTGCCGCCTCTAACACACCACTCCCAGCATCTGCCCCATCCTCTGCTTCCCCCCCTGCTCACCCTCCCCTTCCCCCCTCACCCCTCCCCACTCCCTCCCCCCTTCCCCATCCACCCTTTTTTCTGGTGACCTACCGTTTACCATGCCGTCGCCTGGTGCCCCGTCTACAACTGTGCCACCATCAGCGGCCTCACTGTCTATCGCCCCATCTTCTCTCCCCCTTGCAGCAGCAGCAGAAGCGCCGAGAGCAACACGGCGGCCGTTGTCGGAGCGACTGCGGATGGATGGCTGGAGAACCTAGAAGAACGGGGATTGGGGCAGAGGGGAAAGGGAAACAGTAGGGAATAGACAAAAGAAAGTGTGCACAGCAAGAAAGTAGGGAGTGACAATTGAGGAGGGGTGGAAGGGTGGACTGTAAGAACAATGGACGGAGCGACAGAAGGGTGGAAAGATCGAAGTTTGGAGAGCGACTGAATCTTCTCCAGCAGTGGGAGGGAGTCAGCGGGCATAGTGCTAAGCGGATGCGTGGGCAGGCAGTAGGGATGTGCAAATGGGGTTGTGCACCCACCACACCCCAGTGCCTGCCTGCTCCCAGCACTGCTGGTGGCGTCCATGGCCATCATCACCACCAACACATCCATTGCCCCACCGTTTCCTTCCGGCCGTGCTGCTGGCCTCACCCCATCTCATCCTCTAACTCCCCTCCCCTCCCATCCCATCCCATCCCATCCCATCCCGTCCCGTCCCGTCCCGTCCCGTCCCGTCCCGTCCCGTCCCGTCCCGTCCCGTCCCGTCCCGTCCCGTCCCGTCCCGTCCCGTCCCGTCCCGTCCCATCCCATCCCATCCCATCCCATCCCATCCCATTCCATCCCATCCCATCCCATCCCATCCCATCCCCTCCCCTCCCCTCCCATCCCATCCCATCCCATCCCCTCCCATCCCATCCCCTCCCATCCCATCCCATCCCATCCCATCCCATCCCATCCCCTCCCATCCCATCCCATCCCATCCCATCCCATCCCATCCCATCCCATCCCATCCCATCCCATCCCATCCCATCCCATCCCATCCCATCCCAACCCGTCCACCACGCACACGCACTTAACAGCCGAACCCACTCGCTCGAGCTGAGCTGACAGGGGACACATCCTCGTGCCGGGCAGCCTCCACCAACACATCCAGCGGCCCCGAATCCGTCCCCCTTACAAGCTTCTCCACCGCCGCCATATCACCATGGGCCCGCGCCACATGGCTGCCACGAGAGCGGGCATGAGGAAGACCACGAGGAAGCCCATGGACATGCAGAGCACGCCGTGCGCCTGAACCAGCAGCATGCACGCATGGGTTGCGGAAGAGGGCGAGCAAGGGGCGGCCGGCAGTCTCTAGGTCCAGTCCAGTGAGCAGGGGCCGGCCGGTAATGTCCAGGGCGAGCAGGTGGGGCAGTGAGGGGCCGAACATGGTGGGCGCCCAGCAGCCCCACCTGCGGGGCGCACGTGGTGGGCGGGCGAATGCCACTGCCAGGTTCACTGTGGTGGGAAGAGGGAGGGGTTGGGGAGGGGGAGGGGAAGATGGAATTGGGGGGAGGCCGGATGGAGGAAATGTGGGATGGTTGGATGAGGGGGAAGCGGGGATGGGGGGATATGGGCAGATGAGCATGCGATTAGAGGCATGGATTGAGAGGTGTGGGGTGAGGGGCACGGTGGAAGAGGCATACAGGGGGAGGAACGCGGTCAAGTGCATGGGGTGAGGTGAGAGGGATTCTACGAGAGGTATGAGGTGATAGGATGCGGTGAGTGGTATGTAAATGGAACGAGGCAGGCGTGAATAGAGCGTGTATGGGAACCTGTCGACATGCGGTGAAGGAAAGGGGGATGGGGAGGCGGACGGGAAGGGGGGGTGGGCAGGGGGATGGGAAGGTTATAGTGTGGTAGGTTGTGGTGCGGTAGGCTGTGGGCAGAGCGCGCTTTCAAGGCACTCATCCACTCTTACTCCTGTTGCACTCTTACCCCTACCCCAACAGCAGCACCATGGTTTTCAGTATTAGCAACTTGCTTGCAGGCTTATCCATGACCCTTGATGAAATGTTATTCAGTCAATTAAGGGAGCATAGCACAGCACAGCACAGCACAGCACAGCACAGCACAGCACCGCACCGCACCGCACAACGTCTGGCGAACTTTAGTATGGATGCAGCGACCCCCTCCATCTACTGAAGAGAAATGAGCCAAATCCCAACCCAACCCGATGCAATGCAACACGACCCGGCCCGCTCGACTTGCCCAGAACCTCCGGACCCTACCCGTCCGTACCTGACCTGACCCGACCCGAACCACTCGACCCCCGACCCAACCCTACATCACCAGACCCGACCTGAGCACACCCAAACTAGCCCGAGCCAACTGCCCCCGTCCCGACCCGACACAACCCGACCCAACCCATCCCAACCCGACCCGACCCGACCCGACCCGACCCGGACTTGTCACCATGCCCATGCCTACTTAGGCGAACCTTGCAAGGGAGACTGCAGCAGCAGCCTGTTGAGTTGCTGCAGGGGAACGAGCGAGCGCGCCTTGGCTTGGCGTGATGGGTCTTCTACTAATGGGGTATGGGGTCAGGCGAAGTGCACGCCACTGCCGCAGAACCTTCCGCAGAACCTTTCGCACGCCTCACTGCCAGAACCGCTTTGCTGCTCGGGAAGTCCCCGATGGCCCGCCCTTAATGATTCTCATATGCACCCACATCACATGGGTCGCCAATGCTTCTCCGCGCATCAGTTTTTTCGCGGCACGGGATCGATCAGTTTTTTCACTGCATTTCATATCAGCACGAACGTTCAGCCGCGGCCACGGCGGGATCTCCCTGCGGCGGGAAATAGGTCTGCGACACTTGCGCAGCAGCTGTATGCCGTGTCTGCGCGAGGCGAGAGTGCGCAGCAGCATTTTCAGCAGCAGCGGCGGCAGGAGCTGCGCGCCGTGGGAGGCGGGAGTGCGCGGTGGGGGGAGAGCGACAATCGTGCCGGAATTTAGACTCGAGTCTAATAATGCCGCAACCTAGCAGCGGCTGGCGACACGGGTAAATAGGGAAGACGGCGACGATTCTGCCAATGCGACGATCCTGCCATTGCGGCGATTCTGCGAATGTGAGAATTCTGCCAATGCGACGATTCTGCCAATGCGACAATTCTGCAAATCGACGGTTCCGTCCATGCGACGATGGTGCGGACGGAAAGGCCGGAAGAGTCATGCAGAGCTACTAGAAACCGCCATCGACGGAATTCTCATGGAGGAAGGGGGAGAAGTGATGGGAGTGAGTGAGCCATGAAGAGTTTCGAAATTAGGTTGGGAGCTGTAATGATTATCGAACAGAGAAAGCAGAAATGACGACAATGCGATTCAAAAGCCTCCTTATACAGGAGCACAAGCTTGCTGGGCGAAAACTTCGGTTGCCGAGGTTTGGGGGAGGCGGAGTCGAAAGGTTTGGAGACGACACGTCTCAGCTTCGGTTTCGTCAGCTCGGCCGAGCCTGATCCCCAACATGTTCGGGGCTTCGTACGATCCCCAACATGTTCACGTATGTCGCCTCCAAACTAAAAATCAAACCAAATGCACGGACCTCAGTAGAATACGCATTCGGCCAACTTCATTGATACTCAAATTATGCCAGGAGCGTTTTGCAAGCGTACTCAACCGACAAATTCTCGGTAGAGAATTTTCGTATAAAGTTTTTTCATGTTATAAGCACAATTCTCAAACAAAGGCACCACCAGCTACTTTCCCGCACGTACCCGAGAAAACAGAACAAGAAAGAAAACTAAAACTCTTACATAAGCTGAACATACGTTAGAAAAATCAACCCTAAATACGGGAATTCGTCCATTTTTTATGCTTGACCCTTTAACATGTTGCCTCCGATTTCCCAATAAGTTTTAATAATGTTGCTATTACTTACCAAAATGTGCTCCGATGCGAGGGCAAGCACATATACATTTGAGTTGTTCCATGTCCGAGGCAGCATATCAACGGTCGACAGAGGCTTGACAGCGTGGTCGACCCCATTTCCGTTGAGTTATTCCCAGTTTCCATCATTTTTCTCAATCAGTTTATTATTATCTTTACAAAGTTTGCGCTAGATACAAATTTCATCTGTAAGTTTTTTTAGTGTGTAGAATGTGATCGAAAAGCGAGAACCAATCAGCGATGAGAAATCGAGGTTGAGTACCGATGCACAATTTCGAAAAAATCACCAAACCCGACAGTTTTTGGATTTGTGTCAAATCGGTCGACCACTCGTGCTCCACGTCAGCACTATTTCGAATTCCAAAACTCCGATCGACCCTACAATAGATTACGCGGTATGGTATAATGTTTATCGGTTGGTGTTGAGTATGGCACCACAGTTACGTAACTTTTCGGAGTTGGTTTAGGTTATTCTTCTTTAACGTCCCGCATGGTTTTGTTTTTGTTGTGGTGCAGGTGTGCACAGTACATGCGACGGTGTCGAGCAGGTTGGGTTTAGAGATTGCGATTTGGTCCGATTTGGTCCTTTCAGCATTCAATGCCACCTAGCGCGGGAAAAAAGGCCGGCGCTACCGGCTGAATCAGCATTATGACCGCGGGCAAAAAAAATAAACCCATGGCTTACGGCATGCCATTCGGGAGCCTCAACCCTAAAATTTTAGGGTTGAGGCTCCCTTGGATGGCATGCCATCCGAGTGGGTTTTAGTTTTTTTCTTGCTTGCTTGCTGACGCAGGCAGTGCAATATATTACCCAAAACGCGACAGACTCTACCACCCACATACCTACGAAATTTGAGAAACCCTAACGCAGAAGTAATACTTGCGTCAGAGTAACCAATTCGTTCTGAAAGTGTAGAAATTGGGTCGGTCGATCGGAGTTTTGGAATTCGAAATAGTGCTGACGTGGAGCACGAGTGGTCGACCGATTTGACACAAAACTGAAAACCGTCGAGTTTAGTGATTTTTCCCACAATTTCTCTGGCATAATTTGAGTGTCAATGAAGTTGGCCGAATACGCATTCCCCCCCAACCAGCCGAGCCTGGCGTGCCAGACGTACAGCCTTTGCTTCGACACGCCAAAGCTCGAGTAGCCGTGCCATGCCAGCCTCGAAAACTTTTTGGCTAGTTTTTTGCGAACTCGGAACCTCGCAAATATCGGAGCTTCGCACAATGCATTAGCGACTAGAACGAAGTAGGTAACCCTATAGTCTTTGCTTCCAGCAGGCAGAACCACATCCAAGGCAACCCACTCTCTCCTCACTCGCCTTGGGGTTGGGGGGC